ATAAAATATCGGTCCCTGGCGTTGGACACCCGTTGTTTACTATCTATGATAACAGATGCGGTCAAGTGTGTTCCTGCCCGCCCCCAACGATGACGCGGGTTAGACTGTTATACGCATGACGATTTGTGACAACGGATCTGAAGAACCCAATCAACTATCGTTATCTACTAAGACGGAATATGGAGGTCATAGGAGTCACCATACATCCAAGAAGCCTTTTAATCAGGCTTTTAGTTGACATGTTTAAAACCTTCAACTCCGTTCACGCACCAGATAAAGTCAAGACATACGGAACTACCTTCTCGGGTGACAAAAGTGTGCAATCCAGCTCATTGGTCTTTCTAATACAACTTGAAGTAGATAGGTTGTCCCTTCGAGGCGAGTCGGAATTGTCTCGTCCATGACGAAGTTGGTGTTATTGATTTTAGGAAGCAGCGGTGACCAAGTGCCTATTTTCGCTCTTTTTCACGGACAGCTCGGCATTACCAACCGTGCCAGAAGACTAGCCGGACGGCCATCCGTAAATGGGCATCTTTTTTGAGGTGTACGTATCACGACAGGTATATGGACAGGTTTACGAAAAAGCTGTGTCGATCGCCGGAATCATAGTTTTATTAGTCTAAGCTTTCGAACTCTTGCGGGAGTCCATCGTCAGAGATAAAATCGTCAACGAAAACAAGCAACATTTATAGGGGAAGGGGCCAATTAACCGTCATAGGGGGAGGGGGGAGGGCAGAGGATCAATTAACCACCAGTGCCGTGAGTCTGGAGATACCTGCGCAGGGCAGCATATGCGGGTGCCAACTCGATACATCGGTTAACTGAGTTGTCATTCGACGCACAGGCTTCATTCAGTTCTCTGTCCGTCTTGATGCCAGCGTGGGTAATTATCCTCGCAGCCGCGAAGTTGAAGTCGTGACCCGTCTCGTAGGTGTGAGCCGCCACTTGCGATAATGCGTAACCCCGTCGAACAGCCAGCTTATGTTCGTGTATGTGCGAACCAAGTACATCAAAACCGAAAAATGCACTTGTTTTTTTTTACGGCTGTGATCATGCCTGTCATGGGCGGTACCCCTCTACACTTGACGATTGGTGGCAGCGGATCTGGAAAACTCCACTCAGTCCGAAGAAGGTAGACCGAAGGTAGAGATCCAAGAACTGCTTCCATGTCTTGACGGACGGTGTCGAGCCAAGTCTTTAGTCGCCCTCCTCTTCGACGCCTCCAAGTAAGCTGGGGCGCGGGATCAAGGGTATCATAGCAAAGCTCGCAGGGTGGACGACGGAGAACTTGCCAAATCACCTCAATCGGCCTTTCTTGAATGGCCTGAGATGTCCTCGCGATACGATCGCAGCGAATGCGGACTATCTCATTCGCGATTAAGTCGACATACTTAACTCGCAGGATGGTCGTCAGGCATCGGTTGTCAAATACCTCCAGTCTTCGCTCATCTTCAGCGCACAAAGCCCAGTATTCACACCCATAGAGGAGAACTGACCGGTATGGTATGGTATGCACGGATCTTCGTGGTGATGGAGATGTCGCGCCGGATCTAAAGGCGCTTTCGAAGGATTTGGAAAACCCAGCGAGCAGCATCGATGCGGGAGACAATGTCGGCCTTGCTCTGCCCATTCGGTAGCAGCCTCGCCCGAGGTATTTAAAGCTCTCACTTCTTCAAGTTGATGGCCATGGATCCCCAGGGGTGCTTTCTCGTCAGAGAAGCAGCTCGAGAATAGCCAACCGACATAGCGATCTCATTCACTCGCGAAACTACCAACTATAGACCGCCAAAGCTTGAGGCTAGTAGCGCAATATCATCGGCGTAGTCGACATCAGTCAGCCGGCGTCTGGGTGAAAGCTCAACGCCGTCTTCTTCATATAGGGCCTCCCCAAGAATTCAGTCAATGACGTAGTTAAACAGAATGGGCGACAGGACGCAGCCCTGCCGGACACCAGACGAATATCGAACGGTTGAGAGAGATTGTAATGGACCAGAACTCGTGTGGTGGTGGAACGATAGTAGGCCT